CCTAGCCACGGCCGATCAGGTTTTATTTATTAACCAATCAGAGCAACTTGACATACAGACCATCCCCCAGCACAGCCAAGTGCAGACCATCTCAAACACCTGCACTCAGGAACACAGTCCTAATCATCCTCTATACGGACCTGCTGGGTAACGCCACAAAGAACCTGAGAATGGGCTCCCACAGGACCTACAGAACATCCCACAGCAGAGTTGGGTTCCTGGATAGATCATTCCCGTGAGTGGCGGCTGGCTAGCTCCAGGTCCTAAGGCTACTGAGCGTTGTTGTATAGTGGAAGCTGGCTTCCTCCAGAGCAAACTGGTTTGAGAGATCAAGCTGCAAGTCTCCATGCCTTTTGTAACCTAACATTGAATCTCACAATCATTTCTACAAAATTCACTTGTTGCATGGTCAGCCCTACTGAATATGGGAGGGAATTATACAAGGGCATGAAAACCAGGAAATGGGTAGTGTCTGGAACTATTTTAGAAGCTGGTTAGCAGCACAGTTTTCTTGTTAGTTTTTTCCTGTGACTGATAATTGCCATGGAGGAAGCTGGATCTCCTCCAACACTTCAGTATCTTTAAAAAATACTTAGGAATTCTTCCAAACACTGAAAAACATCAGATTATGCTCACTTGTGTTATTTTTATCCTGTGGGCGCTACTCTTCCATAGCCAAAGATCTTCCTCTTCCTTCTGGACTGGTTCCTTTCTAAGCTTTTAACCTGGTTTTCACTGTAGGACTTCCTTTCGCTGTTCCTCTGTGTTCTAACTCTTGTTTTCTGTATCCCCCTGATGGAGTTTGGTTGTGTAGTGACCCCCACAGGATCATATATTGGAACTCTTGGTGCCCAGCTGGTGGATTGTTTTGGAAGGTTGTGGAACCTTTAGGGGTGAGGCCTTGCTGGAGGAAGTGGATCACTGGGGTGAGCCTTGAGGTTTTATAACCCAGCCCCACTTCCTGTTTCCTGTCCGTTTTCCCACTTCCCGAGTGGTGTGACCATCTGCCTCCCTGTCCCTGAGGCTGTGCCCTCTCTGCAATAATGGGAGGTATTCTCACAGAACTATAAGCTAAAATAAACCCTTTCTCCCTTAAGTTGCATTTGCCAGGGTGTTTTATTACAACAGAGGGATGTAACTAAAACAGTGCCTCTTTGTCTCTGCTGGATTTCTTCTCCCGCATCCTCATTCCAAGCTCTAGGAATGTGAGAACATGGGAGATGAGTGTGTTGAGTTCCATGTGTCTGAAAACGTCTTCATTCCTTCTTCCTTGGCTCCTTGACTGCACACTCGCACGACAGAAATAACAAAGATGTGCCAATGAGCGTGGCGAATGTGGGTGGAGTTGGCCAAGTTGTATCCTTGTAGAGGATCGAGGAATGAAGAAGTGTGACCCTTCTGTTGGAAGATTCTCTGAAGATGAACCTTCCACTCTCCCCAGTCTCCAGAGTGGGAGGGGAGTGACAGGCCTGATGGGCCTCACAGTTCACAGCACGGCAGGTCTTGAGACACTCTGCACACAGCACCAAGCCTGCCTCCTGCGCTCTAGGACACAGGGTTTCTCACGGCAGCCCAGGCTTGCCCAAAACCCACTCTGTAGCCTCAGCTGTCCTTGAACCCACAGAAATCCCCCTCCCTGCCTCTTGAGTTCTGGGATAATAGGCGTGAGTCCCCACTCTGGGGACACCAAGTCTCTTTAGTCGCTAGCTGAGTCCTATGGCTCAAAATTTGCAGTCTGCTTTCTCCAGAAAACAAGAAACTGCTCCTGCTTCTCAGGTAGAAGAGGGCAGGGACTAGTTCCCTGACTCCTTGGGGTTCAGGAGCTCAATGCAGGGCCTTTCAAAAGGACACCCCTGTTTGTCATGGCCTAGCCCCACCCTGAACTTTGCAATCTACCCTCCTCTTCTGGTCTAAATCAGCCTGCCATTTGTCATTCTTACTTCCCCCACCTACAGACACTTAGCTTCTTGTGGTGGTATTGTGTTCCCCAAAATATCGTGCACCCTAATAAACTTATCTGGGGTCAGAGAACAGAACAGCCGCTAGATATAGAGGCCAGAAAATGGTGGCACTCACGCCTCTACTCCTAGCATTACAGAGGCAGAGATCCGCCGGGATCTCTGTGAGTTCAAGGCCACACTGGAAACAGCCAGGCATGGTAACAAGAGCCTTTAATCCCAGGAAGTGATGGCAGGAAGCAGAAAGGTATATAAGGCGTGAAGACCAGAAACTAGAAGTTTTTGAGCTGGTTAAGCTTTTAGGCTTTTAGCAGCACAGTTCAGCTGAGATTCATTCGGATGAGGACTCAGAGGCTTCCAGTTTGAGGAAACAGGATCAGCTGAGGAAATGGCAAGGTGAGGTTAGCTGTGGCTTGTTCTGCTTCTCTGATCTTCCAGTGTTCACCCCCAATACCTGGCTCCAGGTTTGTTTTTATTAATAAGACCTTTTAAGATTCGTGCTACAGCTTCTGATGTTTCCCCTCTCCATTTCCATTTGCTTTGCCTGTGGGCTGGCACCTTTCTGAACATTTGTATTTTTACAATAAGGGCTTTGGAAGGGAAAAGGGAGAGAAATATTTTTGTTGGTTTCCCTATGCATAATGGGTAGAGTCCAGGTGAAAGATTTGAACTTGCAAGGCAAAGGAATAACATAAAAACTCAAAACCAAAGAAACTCAACCTCTCACCCCTGCAGACAAAGAGGCCCAGAGTGAGCGTGCCCTTTGACCCCCAGTGGAAAGTGTATCTCTTCCCCGGCACCCAGGCCACATCCAGGCATCTGAGCAGCTTTGCCAGCTTGACTTCTGGGGCCAAGGGGAGCAGATGGCGTTCAAAACCTGATTAATCTTTCTTCCCTTGCTTAGGTTTCCAGCTGTGGTTCATGCTCCCCTTCCTGGCATGGAGCCATTTCTTCGGAGTCTTTTTGTCCCTGGCAAAATGTCAGAAACACAGCTATCTTTCGCTAAATCTCCCTGGTCACCAGTTTCACATTGCTGGCCAGCATTGCTTTTTTTTTTTTTTTTTTTTTTTTAACAGCAAAGCCATTATTAGATGGGGACCGTCACCCACTGTAGAGTGAAGCCGACTGCTTCATCAATTGTCTTGACCCTGTTATAAGGTAAAAATCAGTTGGAGTCTCTCAAGGTAGCTGCTAGAGTTGGACCTGCCAGAGAAGCCACTTCTGGGGCTTTTAGAGCCCTGTTTCAAAGTCACATGGCATGGCATAAAACATGATGGAATCGTTGAGCCTTAGGCACAGGAATCTTGCAAAGGGTTGGCCAACTTTGGTAGCTTTGAAGCAGTCCACCTTGACACTTGGTTTGGGGATGATTGACTTCTTCTAAGACCCGCTTTCCTCTAAAAGGGTGTTCTGAAACTGAGATGTGCATTCGGATGTCCAGGGAGTATAATCACATGACACACACCCAGACTCTACCCCGAGTGACGCTTACAGCCAAGGTGCTTGCATTTTGAAAGTTCTCCAGGAGGCTTTGGTTAAGAACTGTTATAAAGGAAGTCTCTGAAGTGGAAGAGGCACCCCAGTATCATAATTATTGAAAAAACAAAACCTCTGGACATCTGGGTGCAGGTCCTGGCCTTCCCTAAGTCACTTCTTTCTTTGGTAGGGAGGCCATATTCTTTGCTGTCCATTGTAGGACACATATAATAGCAAAGTGGAGACTATTAATAATTACATCAGGACAAGAGGCATAAATTGAGACTGTCCGGAAAACTCGGTCACCTAACTCAGTAGTCAAATGAGAGACCGGAACAGAGAACTCTGAGGTCACTTCCTGATTTATGATTCCATAATTCATGATAATGGGACAAGTACAAAGCATGCTTTCATTGCAAGTGCAGCAGGGCAGAGTCAGTGAGGCCAGGTCTCCAGGCAGGGAAGCTGAACCAAGAGCCGTATCTAACTCAGAGGCTGAATGGGTGACACACAAGGAAAGAGAGACCAAGGGATAGAGCCAACAGGATCATGTGACCCAAGTCCAAAGGCCTGGGCCAGCAGGGGCCAAATCACAGCGAGCATTTGCCAGGGACAGCTGCTCTTGCCACCAGAGCCCCGAGGAGAGACACGAATGCTGTGTGAGGTCTGTTGACATTTACATATTTCTGGGTCATATTCCAATATGGCGGCCAGAGACATTTACACATGCTTCTGTAATCTTTCCAGCCTGCTATCCAAGCAATCTGTGTGGCCATTTCCTAGGTGACTTTCTGCTGCATGGCACAATTTGAAGAAAAAAAAAAGTGGGGGGCAGGGTGTGAGTTTAATTTAATGCTCAGGTTAATGATAAATTAGTATATAAATCAAATCAAATAAAAATTACCAAATTTCTAAAAATCAAAGTGAATAAACCATTCATATTAAAATACCTCTAATTTTATATTTCATGTTTCAGAAAGTGTTTCGGCGCTCTGCATTGTCTTGTTGGACTGTGAAAAGTCAGCCCTGTAAATCTATGGCACCAAGAATTTTTGATGAACGCAGAAGGTATAAGCTCAGGGCAGTTGGGCTTTGATGGCCTGTTTCTACTCTATTATATGTTGGTGAGATTTAGGTCGTATAAGAATGAAACACCACAAAACCAGCACTTTATAAACCTGGGGCTGAAATCACTTGTTTGTGATGGTTTAGGTGTGGGGGGAGTTAGCAAAAAGTGTAAGGGGAAAGAGATTGGGAGAAGGGGGAAGAGGGAGGAAAGGGAGATGGGGTGGGGGAGGATCAAACCTATGGAGAGACAGCAGAGAGAGAAGGGGAGACGGGGCATGTGAGTGCATGTGTGTGCATATGAGTGCGTGTGTGTGTGTGTGTGTGTGTGTGTGTGTGTGTGTGTGTGTGTGCGCGCACGCGCGCACACGTGGGTGGGCATCCAGAGGAAAAAGGAAAATTCTAGAATAGGCTTTTTAGTGAGAATCTCAAAAAGTATTTGCACTGGAACACAGGATATAGGATGCCTCACATCAGTGCTGAGCTATCTGGATGGGCGCGATCCAGTTCATACAATGTGGGTCTGAGTTCTTGCTGTTTGCTAGGAAATGATTCACTGTGGCTGCGCCTCGGGGGTGTCATTAGAAGGACTGTCATTGATGGAAAGGTTCCCACGACCGCCCTGGGATGAAGCTCGGCTCTCACAGCTGCACCATCAATTCTCGGGACCTGTGCCTTGCGTGCAGTGGAATGCGCACACGCTTAGCTATGTTATGCATGCAGTGGAATGCACACATGCTTAGCTCTATGTCTTGTGCGCACATACTTAGCCCAGGTTTAGAAATCTCCTGGCTGCAAAATGGTTTCCCTGCTAACAGACTTTTTTATCTTTGACTAAGAGTGGCGGCAGGGCTAGGAAATTACTGTTGTCATTTCCAGGGAGCCTTGGACAGGGGCGCGTGTCCCTGAGGGGATGCAAGTGGAGAAGGAGCTGAGAGGTTATCATTTGGCTCATTAGGGAACGTCTCAGAGTGAGGGAGCCGGAATAGCATGTGAGAGGCTGGAGTCTCCAGGGAAAGTTTTGGAAATAAACAGCATTTACTTGCTTTTACCTGAGGAATGCTGATCGTGTGGACCTTTCCATATTTCTCTACTCCACTTTTCTTAGTGGACTGGCGAAGGCCGAGGAAGTACTTGACATGCAAAAGCCATGTTGGGCCTTTCATTCCAGAATAACGAGACTGATGCAGAATGAAATGGACCTCTGAAACAAAAGACCAAGATAGCACAGCTAAGGCTTAAGAGTCCCGGATATCACTCCCTAATGTTTTAGAAAGATGACATAAAGTATATGACTTTTTTTTTATAGTGAGCAGTAAAGTTGGGAAACTTCTACATGACAGATTAATGCATTTAGAGATGACAGACACTAAAAAAATGTAAGTAGCCAGGAAAGGGGTGGGTGATTTGATCCACAGTGTCATAGACTACCTTCATGTACTCACATCTTTTGCTAAGGGGAAATGTAAACCCCGACTCTTGATGTCTAACTAACCTGGCCTCCTTGTGCACCTCCCAGGCCCATGGACAAGTGGACCAGAGCTGGGTAGTGATACCTAACCCAAGACCCGCCAACCATAACCTCAGTTGTCATTTCTTGTTTTGTTGTTCTCGCTTTTGTGCTTGTTTTAGACAGGGTTTCTCTTGGTAGCTCAGGCTTCCCGTGACTTCTATGCAGCCTAGGATGGCCTCAAGCATGACTGAGACCCTCCTACATCAGCTTCTTCAGTGCTGATATTACAAGCTGGGGCCACCATGCCTGACTATTTTGATTTCATTTAATCCTGGATGGTGCCGGCAGATCATTCTCCCTTAGATTCCAGTCTTATGTCACTTGAAATCCAGAGAGAGCTATTTTAGACATAATCCAAGACAAGAAAAGAAGGAAAGAATTAAGTGATAAAGGAAGAAAGTGTGCACGCACACGCGCGAGAGAGACAGAGACAGAGACAGAGAGAGAGAGAGAGAGAGAGAGAGAGAGAGAGAGAGAAAGAAAGAAAGAAAGAAAGAAAGAAAGAAAGAAAGAAAGAGGAGGAAAGAAAAAGAAAGAAAGAAAGAAAGAAAGAA